ATTGAATTTTGATTCTTGTTGATATCTGAGTTATGTTATTTCTTTCGTTTATTTGATGTCTTTCTATTCGGAATTGCTATCTTCCCCACAGCATGCTCCCCTCCCATTTTGACTGGTTATTTCTGTGTCTCATTTTTGCTGTATACATATTTGAACTGTACAGGTTTATATGGTAGTCTGGTCTAGCCTCGTCACTACCTCGCCGAGGTTAGGCTAGGCACTTACCAGCACATGGGGTCGGTTGTACTGATGCTACACTCTGCACTCTTTTATGCAGATCTCAGTGCTGTTGACTTCGGATCGTCGGTTGGAGGCTATTTTCAGTTTACGCGGAGATCCAAGGTAAACCTGCAGGCGTCCGCAGGCCCTAGCATCTCCTCTATCCTTATTTCCTATTTCATTTTCCTTATATTCAGAAACAGTGTATTGATATTTTCTTCAGACCTTGTATGACCGTCTGTGATACTGTGACACCAGTTCTGGGTAGTCGAGGTTCAAACAGTTGTATTAGATATTTATGTTCAGATAGCTTATGGTTTCTTTCTTCCGCTTATGCTAAATTGCGCTGTTTAAATGTTATTATTATTATTAAAATTGCTAATGAATATAAAATGAGTAACAAGGGTAAATTGTGAAATTAATTGGCTTGCCTAGCTCGTACTAGTAGGCGCCATCACGACTCCCGAGGGTGGGAATCCGGGTCGTGACACTTGTAGGAGTTGCTAAAGTTCTGATATGAAGTGTTGTATTCCAAATATGAAATGTTGCTAACGTTATGATATGAAGTGTTGTCTTCCAAATATGAACTGTTGCTAACGTTCTGATATGAAGTCTTTGTATTCAAAAGATGAATTGTTCTGTACTTAGCACATTACTTTTACAAGTCTTTCATTCAAAATATGAGAATGAAGTGTCTTTTAATTACCAATTAGGTTGCCACCTATCAAAAATGACTAAGAGTCATTTGTCTAAGAAGTGTCTTGCTACCACGTGGTGGTGGGGGGAAATTTTAATCTTTATCCGACTTATTAGTTAATTAGGTAATGTCCCGTTATCCGATAATTAACCAATTACCCACATAATTAAGAATTATCTCAAATTACTTAAAATACTACTCATTTTTAATATACTTTATACATCATACTATCATGATCATATGGTACCTTGTACGGTACTACTCCATAAATATCGGGTATCATAGCTCGGACTGTATTTTATCCCAAATCGACAACCTTCAATGAAACTCGTTTTCTTTAATTCGTGTACCCTTTATCCTTCATGGAACTTACATATCGCTTGGTATAAATAGCATAAATACGTTAACCTCAAGATAATCTCATCCCCGAGTCTACATCGATTAACTGAAGACGAAACTTTAACGTACGAAAACGCGAGATATAACATCCTCCCCCCCTTAGAAACATTCGTCCTCGAATGTTTAACTCCCTAGGATCTATATAACTTTGGCAGAGTCGCCTTTGTAACAATACTACTATCAACTCTTCCTGTAGAACTCAATAATTCAACGCCACATAGGACCACAATCATCAATAACGACAATGGCCTCACACGACCAATGACAATAACTAACACAAGAATCCATACAAGTACCTTAAGGTTGTGATGTCTCAGTCAGACCCTTCTCTGGAAGAGGAAATAAGTAGAGATATCTAGACTTCATGTCTTCCTCGGCCTCCTAAGTCATTTCTTCCACATTGTTGTTTTTCCAAAGTACTTTCAAGCTACGTCTTTAGTTCTCAATCTCCGAACCTGTCTGTCTAATATAGCAATGGGAGTTTCTTCATATGATAGCTGCTCTGTGATCTGAATGTCATCAACTGACACGATTCTAGAAGGATCTCTGATACATTTACGGAGCATAGACACGTGAAAGACCGGATGTACAGGCTCCAAGTCCGAAGGCAAGTCTAACTCATATGCTACCTGGCCTACCTTGCGTATGACCCTATATGGTCCAATGTACCGAGGGCTAAGTTTTCCTTTCTAACCGAACCTCATAACACCCTTCATCGGTGATACCATTAGGAATACGCAGTCGTCTGCCTGAAACTCCAAGTCTCGCCGTTGATTATCCGCATACGACTTCTGACGACTTCGAGCTGCTAATAGCCTTTCCTGTATAAGCTTAATTTTCTCGATTGCCTGTTGTACCAATTCTGGTCCTACTAACGTAGTTTCCCCAACATCGAACCACCCTATAGACGACCTACACTTTCATCCGTAAAGAGCTTCGTATGGAGCCATCTGAATACTGGAGTAGTAGCTATTATTATATGCGAACTTAATAAGCGGCAGATGATCATCCCAGCTACCTTTGAAGTCTATCACACAAGCTCGTAACATATCCTCAGGTGTCTGAATAGTACGCTCAGCCTGTCCGTCTATCTGGGGATGAAATGTTGTACTAAGACTTACCTGAGTCCCCAATCCTTTTTGGAAGGACCTCCAGAAGTTAGCTATAAATTGAGCTCCTCTATCCGAGATAATAGATACAGGGACACCATGCAGTCGTACTATCTCCTTAATATAAAGCCTTGCATAATCCTCTGCGGAATATGTAGTCCTAACGGGCAGAAAATGGGCCGACTTTGTAAGCCTATCAAAGATCACCCATATCGAATCGAACTTACGCTGGGTACGAGGTAAGCCTACGATGAAATCCATATTGATTACTTCCCATTTCTAAGTCGGAATCTCCATAGCCTGCAATAATCCACCGGGTTTTTGATGCTCAATCTTAACCTGCTGACAGTTAGGACACTGAGCAACAAACTCCGCTATATCCTTTTTCATTCCATCCCACCAATATACTTCCCTGATAGCATGATACATCTTTGTCGCTCCTGGATAGATAGAATAACGAGAACAGTGAGTTTCTCCCATAACCTGCCGACGCAACCCTGCAACATTAGGGACACATAATCGTCCTCGATATCTGACGACCCCATCTTCTATAATTTTGAGCGGTGTCTTCTCCTTCTGAGGGGTGGTATCCCTATAATGAACTAACACAGGATCCTCGTACTGGCGTTCCTTTACTTCAGTTACTAAAGAGGATGTTGTCGTATCCTAAATAGTAATTCCAATATCACCTGAGTCCAGTAACCGAACTCCAAGACTAGCTAGCTGATGAACCTCATGGGCTATTCCCCTCTTTTCTGGCTGTAAATATGACAGGCTACCCACAGATCTACGGTTGAGGGTGTCGGCTACTACGTTCGCCTTCCCCGTATGGTATAAAATATCAATGTCATAGTCTTTAAGTAGCTCCAACCATCTCCTTTGACGTAAATTCAATTTCTTTTGCTTGAAGATATACTGGAGGCTCTTATGATCTATATAGATATCAACATGAATGCCATACAAGTAGTGCCTCCACCTTTAGTGCATGAATTACCGCAGCTAACTCTAAATCGTGGGTCGGGTAGTTCTTCGTGCTTTCTTAGCTGTCTAGAAGCATAAGCTACAACCTTACCATGCTGCATCATCACACAACCCAATCCAACACCTGAAGCGTCACAATAGATAACATAACCATCGCTCCCTTCTAGGAGCGTTAGAACCGGTACTGAAGTTAATCTGTCCTTTAATGCCTGGAAACTCCATTTGCAAGCATCAGTCCACTGAAACTTTTCTCCCTTCTGAGTTAACTTTGTCAAAGGTGCGGAAAGGGAAGAAAATCCCTCTACAAATCTCCTATAATAGCCTGCCAAACCGAGAAAGCTACGAACCTCCGTCAGTGTTATGGGTCTAGGCCAAGTCTTTACTGCCTCAATATTTTGTGTATCCACTGGGATGCCTTCACCCGAAATGATATGCCCAAGAAAAGCTACAAAGTTCAACCAGAATTCACATTTAGAGAATTTTGCATACAACTTCCCTTTTTGTAGAACTCTGAACACAGTACGAAATGATCTGCATGCTTAGCCTCTGAACGAGAATACACTAATATATCGTCGATAAATACAATAAATAGAACGACATAACACGAAACTCAAAGTGCCCATATCGGGTCCTGAATGTTGTCTTCGGAATATCTTCCTCATTGACCCTTACCTGATGGTACCTGGACCTTAAGTCTATCTTTGAAAAACACTTAGCACCTTGCAACTGATCAAATAAATAATCAATCCTCGGGAGCGGGTACTTATTCTTGATCGTCACCTTATTCAATTGTCTATTATCAATACACAACCATAAGGAACCATCTTTCTTCCTCATAAATAACACAGGTGCTCCCTCACGGTGATGTACTAGGTCTGATAAAGCCTTTTTCAAGCCCTTTAGTTGTTCCTTTAACTCTTTCAGCTCTGCGGGGGCCATACTATAGGGAGGAATAGATATTGAATGAGTATCTGGTAGTAGGTCAATAGAAAACTCAATTTCTCGCTCTGGCGGAAGACCCGGAAGCTCATCGGGAAAAATATCGGGAAACTCATTAACCACAGGGATGGACTAAATGGTTGGTGACTCTACTTCCACATCCTGAACCCGAACTAAGTGATAAATACAGCCTTTTCTGATCATCTTCCTTGCCTTGAGATAGGAAATAAATCTACCTCTCGGCGATACCAGTCCAAAATAGGCTCCCTTGGAAATTGAAATCGGACTATCTTTGATCTACAATCAACGTTGGCATGACAAGAAGCCAACCAATCCATACCCATTATAACATCAAATTCTACCATATCTAACTCAATTAGGTCCGCTACGGTAGATCGACTATGAACTACTATTATACAACCCCTATATACTCGCTTAGCAATCACAGAGTCCCCAACAAGTGTAGACACCTCAAAAGGTTTAACCAATTCAGGTTTTATTCCAAACTTACTAGCAACCAACGGAGTAACATATGATAAGGTGGAACCTGGGTCAATTAGTGCATATACATCATATGAGGAGACTGATAGTATACCTGTAACAACATCAGGCAATGACTCTTGATCATGTCGTCCTGCCAATGCATAAATGCGGTTCTAAGGACCGCTCGAGCTAGATGCCCTGCCTCTGCCTCTACCACGACACATTGATGCTTGTGAACCTTGCCCAGGGGGGCGTACTGATGATGACGAACTAGCTACAAATCCCGCTGGCTGAGCTATGCTTGTATCACCTCTTGTCGAACAATCTCTCATAACGTGGCCCGGATAACCACAAGTATAACAAACAGCCAATCCCATGCGGCACTGCCCGACATACTGCTTACCACACTGAGCACATCGTGGCAAGGGCAGCCTCGTCTGACTTGACTCACCCCTATACTGAGAACCTGAGGCCCTTGAATTATGACCAGGCCCTGAATATGTGGAAAGATCAATCTCTTACTGCCAAACTGACGGGGTGCACTAACCGATGGCTGGGCTGGATACGTCGGGTATTGTTGTCTCTGACCACCTTGAAACTCACCAGAAGGACCCGAAGACCTCGCTCTCTTATTCTGGGCCTTATCATGCTAACGATCGGCCCTCTGTTTCTGCTTACGCTCCTCTACACCCTGAGTGTATGCCTGAGTACGAGAAATATCCATGTCTGGTTGAAGTGAGACCAACATACAATCTTTAAGCAAGTGCGGCTCTAACCCCATCACGAACCGGTGAACCCAATCCTCCATCTTAGATACAATAGTGGGTGAATACCTAGCCAACGAATCAAACTGAAGACTGTACTCCCGAACAATCATGTTACCCTACCGAAGGGTCAAGAACCTATCAACTCTGGCCCTCCTAAGCTCTGTTGGCAGATAATGACGAAGAAAAGCTTCTGTAAACTCCTGCCATACTGCTGGAGGGGCATTCTCATCTCTGGAAAACTCCAAAGACTCGTACCAATTAACTGCAACATCCTGAAGTCTATAGGAAGCTAACTCAACTGACTCAGTCGTAGTGGCCTCTATTTGCCTCAAAGTCCTCTGCATTCTATGGATCTACCCCAATGAATACCGGAGGGTCCAAATTAATGAAATCACGAACCCTCGCACTAACGGACCTATCTGCATGACCAATACCTACTTCCTGATGCCGAGCCTGCGCAGCTACTAATCGAGTTAATAGCTGAATAGCATCTCTTATCTCTTGAACTGGTGTACCTGGCTGAGGGGCTGAACGTACAGGGGCGGGCATTGGAGCTGGTGCCCCTCAGAGCTCTTCTGGAAAGGGCGGGGTATGTGAAGTCTGAGATGGTATCTCACTATGAGACTCTCCCCGAGCCCTGGTAACTCGTGGCGCTCGACTAGTAGTCTCACCAGCCGCAGACTTTCCCTTCTGGGCGGCTGTAGTCTTCAGAGGCATCGCTGAAAACGTAACATACTGTTAGGAACATGAATTCTTATATCGCACGATCTAAGATAAAAAGAGAGGATAAAATCCTATATGTCTTGTAGCCTCCTGTCTATAAGTGTGGTGCACAACACACCCATAAACAAGACTCTACTAGACACGGTCTCTAGACAACTCTAGGACAGAACTGCTCAGATACCACTTTTGTCACGACCCAAACCGATGGGCCACGACGAGTGACCGAATCCTACATGTAGAATACCCTTAAGCATGCGTTAAGATATAAACATGAATAACATACGTGAGGAAAACCTATCCAAAAAGATATATGTACATATACATGCAAAGTACAGTGGGCGAGCCGACAAGGCTGCTATAGACAATTATATACCCAAAACTGGAAGTCGACAAGGCCACATACTATCCGACTATACATAACTGTCTACAGATCTCTAATAGAGAATACAAATGTACAACGACGGGACTAGGCCACGTCATACCCATATATGTATGCAAGCATATCGTACTAAAACCAAAAGTAGCTCCGGATCAAGTAGAGCACGCCAACTCTCGCTAATCAAGGATTCTAAGCAGGGGGACCGTCAGCTTGCCTACTTGTACCTGCGGGCATGAAATGCAGGCCCCGAGAAATAGGGTGTCAGTACGAATAATGTACTGAGTATGTAAGGCATGAAAATCAGTACATAAGAGACATAGATGAAATATGGAATAAGGAATTCCGCCTGTAAGTCTAAATAACTTTGCAAATCCTGAAATAGTTATAATATCATGCACGTGCGTATAAATGTTGTGTCATGCATAGGTATAGGTGCACATAACATCATCAAGCCTCTAAGGGCATCCCATCACATCATCTCGGCCACTGTGGACAAAATCAACATATGCCAACTGATTAGGTGGTGGTGCATATATAACGCCGTAACCTTTTCCCATATCCCATATACATATATATACATATAAATACGCATATATAATGCCATCTGGTCATGCGTCAATGTACATGTATAAATGAATGAAATGCATGAAAATATGTTAATAATCTCAACATTCTTTTCGGATAAACTTTATCAACCGCGTATTATTCTGAGACCCGTGAACAGAAGATATAATAATATGTCACATGGGGAATCAAGAACATAGAGACCCCTAGTATTTCTATGAATAGAGTCGTTTCTTTTTGTATCATATGGATCATGCCAAAAAGAAAGAAGGGATAGCCTTAACATACTTGGAGTAGGGAAAAATCCGTATGATATTCTTGGAAAAGGTTGCACCGTAATCCTTTAGAACCGCAAAATTTTACGTTGCTAAGGTTCTAATAATTCTTGTTGGAATCTTGTAGGAATTGCTAACGTTCTGATATGAAGTGTTGTATCTCAAATATGAAGTGTTGCTAACGTTCTGATATGAAGTGTTGTATTCCAAATATAAAGTGTTGCTAACATTTTGATATGAAGTCTTTGTATTCAAAAGATGAAATGTTCTGTACTTAGCACATTATTTTTACAAGTCTTGTATTCAAAATATGAGAATGAAGTGTATTTTAATCACCAATTAAGTTGCCACCTAACCAAAAATGACTAAGAGTCATTTGTCTAAGAAGTGGTTTGCTGCCACGTAGGGGTAGGGGGAGGGAAATTTTAATCTTTATCCAACTTATTAGTTAATTAGGTAATGTCCCGTTATCCGATAATTAACCAATTACCCACATAATTAATAATTATCTCAAATTACTTAAAATACTATTCATTTTTAATATACTTTATACATCATGCTATCACGGGTCATATGGTACCTTGTATGGTACTAGTCCATAAATATTGGGTATCATAGCTCGGACCGTATTTTATCCCAAATCGACAACCTTCAATGAAACTCATTTTCTTTAATTCGTGTACCCTTTATCCTTCATGGCACTTACTTATCGCTTGTTATAAATATCATAAATACGTTAACCTCAAGATAATCTCATCCCCGAGTCTACGTCGATTAACTGAAGACGAAACTTTAACGTACGAAAACACGAGATGTAACACCTTACATCCATATAAGAGCCACTTTCCACCATAATGAATCGCTCGGGATTGAACTCAAGTCTTCCACATATTAGAATCATGTTTAATAGATCACATATTAACAATTGTTATTGCATGGGAAGGAATAACCATATTATTGCTAAGTTGAGTGTCAGATATAGAAAGCCTCACGCACGAGAAAGGTGAACCTGGAGGATGAACTCTTAGAATCTCCTTCACCACTACTTGTAAATATGGCATCCGAGAAGTGTCAGCATCAATCACAAGTTTTCCAGTGTAACATTGTGAACTTCTTCTTACAACTTTTTTTGCACCTCTTTTACAGGTGCTTTGCACTTCATTTACTTCGTGCAATAATAATATCATAACTCGCTAACACAACTCAAATAACAATAAAAGAATTATTATACATGAATTTCTATGCCTTTGTATATTCTATGTGCAAAAAGAATTCTTATGGTCGGTTCCAAACATGCATTTCAATCAATATTACAGATTATATCTACCATATGTCTTGTATGTAATATCTAAAATAGATTAAAAAAAAGATGGCTTAATAAATAATAGCCTCCATTCATCTTCTTCTACCTTTTCTTTTCCATCGAGAGACAAAAGAAGGAGATACTGAAGAAGCACGCAATGGAGACGGCGAGAACTTACGACAAGGTGCAACCTTGAAAGGAATAAGGTGGAAGCAGAGTATGAAGAGTTGTCACAAAATAGAAGGAATGGGTGAGGAATTGACACATGTAAATCCTTTAGCAAGTAGGAGAGCCATCAAATTTCAGAAGCAGTGATAGCTAACGCTTTGTATTCAGCTTCTGCACTAGCACGGGCAACTGTTGGTTTCTTTTTAGAGAGTCAATAAAATTAGTATTATCATACACCATTTTGGGTTTAATTTGGCGCCTCTAATCATCAATGATGCCTTTTTAGAAAAATAAAAACAATGATAGCAGCAGCATACATTATATCCTAAAATGAAACATTTCTCTAAATGGCCATAACAATGAGAGGATCTTCTTTTTTACTTTTTGGAATTTTACATGAAGGAGTGAAAGAAAAAATTAAAGTAGGGACTAAAAGGTGGAAAATCAAACTCCCACTAACAAAATAGAAATTAAGGTAGCAAACCAATTAGCTGCCATAATTCCTGAGAAGATTCTTCGTTTCACAAGACAGTATAAAGAGTTTTTCCAAGTCATGTGGGTATACCCCATCTTCGGCCCGCTTGAAATTCTGCACCAACTTGACCACCGTAATATCATAATGACCAAACTTAAATTATTTTCCAAACAAAGGTCACCACCCATTATATCCATATTAGCACCACTTTCCACCATCATAAACCGCTGGGGTTTGAACTAAAGTCTTCCATACATCAGAATCTTGTTTAATAGATCACATATTAACAATTGTTATTGCATAGGAGGGAACAACCATATTGTTGCTAAGTCGAGCATGAGATGTAGAAATCCTCACGCATGAGAGAGGTGAACCTGGAGGATGAACTCTTAGAATATTCTTCACTAATGCTTGTAAATATGACATCCGAGCAGTGTCAGTATCAATCACAAGTTTTCCCAATGTATCATTGTGAACTTCTTCTTATAAATTTTTTTTGGGCCTCCAATAATAAAATTATAACTCACTAGGACAACTCAAATAACTATAAAAAAAATTGTTACACATGAATTTATATGCCTTTGTATATTCTATGTGTAAAAAGTATTCTCATGGTCGGTTCCCAACATGCATTTCAGTCAATATTACAGATTATATCTACCATTGTGTTATATGTAAAATCTAAAATAGATAACAAAAAGTTTGACTTAATAAAGAACAGCTACCATTCATTTTCTTATAGCTTTTCTTTTCCACCGAGAGATGAAAGAACGTCAACAAAAATAGTATTATCACACACCATTTTGGGTTTAATTTGGCGCTTGTAATCATCAATGATGCTATTACTTTAGAAAAATAAAAACAATGATAGCAGCAGAATTTATTAAATCCTAAAATGGAACATTTCTCTAAATGGCCATAAAAATGAGAGGATCTTCTCTTTTTACATTTTGTTATTTTACATGAAGGAGTGAAAGAAAAAGTTAAAGTGGGGACTAAAAGATGGAAAATCAAATGGTCACGATATAAATCACAATCTGTCGTGATGGAGCCTAACGTAGTACTAGGCAAACCGACATTTATGACTTTAACTCCAACACTTTTTACAGAAAATAAATTTAAAGCAGTTTAAATAAAAAAACTTCTCAGAAACAGGATAGAAAATCCAAAATACAACGCGAAAACTCCCAACATTGGGGTGTCACTGAGTACATGAGCATCTA